AAAAAAAAAAAAAAAAAAAAAAAAAAAAAAAAGAATTAAAATAACTGGTATAATCTCAGAGCGTGTTAATACTCCAGTAATTCTTAACATCAGGCAATTGTTAAACAGTCTGAAAGCCTAGTTTGTTTTTCCCATTACTGGCAAGATTTCTGTGGATGAGCATCTAGCCCTGGCGAATGGTCATTGTGAAGCACCACGTATGGGACTGTGATACCGCAGAGTGGGTAGAATGGGGATGGCCTACTAGGAAAAACTGTGGATTTCCAGGAATCAGGTCTCGATGAATAAATTGGTCGATGACTGATTTTTTTTTTTTGTTCTCACATCTCTAATTTTTCTGGACTTACACGTTTTTATAACGCCCACTTCACCTGGCCATGTGACTTGTGGGCTTCCCTTTGTCATCCTTTGCCTAGGGCTCTGAGCAGGGCAGGGACAGCAAAGGGGTGCTCAGTTGTCACTTCCTACAGCACGGAGCTTCAAGGACTCCAGCCTAAGCCAAGAAGAATCTGTTCTACACAGTTTCTAGAAAAGAAGGTGATTTGGCCACCATATTCCTGAAGATTGAAAATACCAAGCCTTGCTTGGGTTGGAAATCTCAAAGGCAGAGTCTGGGATATCTTAGTTCAATTTTCCAGTGTCTCTTGGTCAGGGCGTGGCACAATGCAGATCCTCATTGCATGTTTGCTGAAAGGAACTTAACCATAATTACTCTGGTAGGACACAGCAGAGTCATTCAACATATGTAGGAGTCCCTGACTGTAGAAACGCATCAGGGAAGCAGATTAGAAACCCTGAAATAGCTCATTTGAAATTCTCCAATCTTCTCATAACCAATGCTAGCAGATTTTATCTAAAGCCCTTCAAATCTGAGACCAACAACACTTCTCCCACTTGCCTTTAGTTAATGTAGATCAACTAATTCCCATCACAAACTAATGGACTGCTGGTGAAACAGGCTCAGAGTGTGATCCGTCACGGCCAGCTGGGCGTAAAATTGGGAAGCAGGCAAATGTGCCTCCACTCCCATTTCCTTCCCACTCCAGAATCCCAACTTTCTGGAATCCTCCTACCACCTGCTGCCTCCCAGAGCCATCCCTGCACGCTCTGCCACTGAAAGTTAGCTGGTGCCCAATGTGTTCTTGAAGAGTCCTATTAACTGATAGAGACAGACAGAGGACTCTGGGAACAGGTCATTAACTGATGGGCTTCTAGTGGTCCATGTGGCTGCCTCCAAGATCAGTGGTTTATTCCCGTCATTGAAGACAGAAATGTCAACAAGAACAGCGTACCACATTTGTATGCTACTTAACATTTACAAAATTATTTGATAGCCAAACACATGTTCTGATATTTTTACACCTGCAGGAGGTAAGGGAGGCACTGTAATTGTTCACCTTTTACAGATGTCTGTCTAAGGCTTCTGGTGATTTGGTGATTGGCCCAATGCCATAAGGGAGAGGCCAGGAATTGAACTGCAATTTCCCTGGCTGGTCCAGATCCCCTTTCATTGTCTCATTCTTCAGGGACAGCCATCAGGGTGGGAATTTCAGACCATGGGCTAAGACAGCCAGGGAGGTGTTTTTCCAGCAAGGAATATCGTCCAGTATTTCTCAGCGCTCAACTTGAGGTAGACCCAACATCAGGAGAGTGGGTTATTCAGGAATTTAACCATGTCTGGGTCAGAAAGTTCCCGATTTTGAGGTTCTGATTTTCCCCGTGAGGCCACAATATGTGACAGAATGCAAGAATAAAAATCGGGCCAGGCGCAGTGGCTCACACCTGTAATTCTAGCATTTTGGGAGGCCAAGGCAGGTGGATCACTTGAGCCCAGGTGTTTGAGACCAGCCTGGGCAACACGGCGAGACTTCATCTCTACCAAAAATACAAAAATTAGCTGGGTGTGGTGGCGTGCACCTGTAGTCCCAGCTACTTAGGAGGCTGAGGTGGGAGGATTGCCTGAGCTGGGGAAGGTTGACACCGCAGTGAGCCATGTTCGTGCCACTGCACTCCAGCTTGGGGGACAGAGTGAGACCCTGTTTCAGAAAACAAAAAAAAAAAAAGAAAAGAAAATTGCTATCACGTGCCTGAATTCCTTCCAGCCAGACGTAGCATGCCCCCAGTCGCAATGTTTTTACACTTCCCCATACTTCAGCAGTTAAACGAGCGGGCCGTCGGTTCAGGGCACAGGTGCTACTGGCAAATGTGGTTTGTGTTGCAGGACTGGGGCAGGGCGTGCCCCTCGTGGGCCTCGTGGTGGAGGGGGGCCCTAACGTGGCGTCCATCGTCTTGGAATACCTGCGAGAAGACCCTCCTGTCCCCGTGGTGATTTGCGATGGCAGCGGACGCGCCTCGGACATCCTGTCCTTTGCGCACAAGTACTGTGAAGAAGGCGGGTAGGATTTCTGACGCGTGAGGAAGGGCGGGTGCGTGACTGCCTCTTTGTTGGGCCGAGGAGAAAATCTGAAGTGGTCTGCTTGGACATTCCATGTTTAAATCAGGAAGATTTGCTAGATCTCCTCTCCCCGTTTTCTGAGGTCAGCATCCAGGGGAACTCTCAGGAGCAGGGTGTTCCCAACGGAATGCTCTCTCCCTCGCTTCCAACTCCATTTTCCCTTAGAAAGTTTGCAACGAAGCTGGAATTTAGGACGAGTGAGAATAAATCCGGTGTTTGACGATGGTCCCTTTTTGTCTCCTGTGTCAGGATATCTCCCACAGCAAAGTCTCAAATCAAAGACGGAGAGATGTCTGACTTATTCATATATAGATTTAACTTGCCTTGTTTTGTTCTCTTGCATTTTCTTTGAACAGGATAATAAATGAGTCCCTCAGGGAGCAGCTTCTAGTTACCATTCAGAAAACATTTAATTACAATAAGGCACAATCGCATCAGCTGTTTGCAATTATAATGGAGTGCATGAAGAAAAAAGAACTCGTAAGTGTCTTGAATTTATTTCCAAACAAGCTCTGTGGAGAGAATTATGTTTCATTTTCTAATTCTGCCCATGTGTGCATGACAGGGTTACTCATATTTTAGTCTGGCCTTTTCTGAGAGGCAGTACAAATGTATACCAAATTGGCAGCTGTGTGCACAAGGCAGAAGCTGAACACGCCCATGCAGGGGAGGGCCCGTGGCGCTTTCGAACATTAGCAAATGGGACGTGACATCACACAACATCCTCCAAGGCACACAACATTACTGAGATTGATAGTTTTGGGGGAAAGGACCACAGAGCACCTTGTCAGACGTGCTTACAAAGTTATGTTATTTTATTTTCCAAATGCGATAATAATTTCCTACTCGTTCCCTCTTCAGTGGTATTTATGAGGAAAAGGCACTCTTGTGCACGTAAGACAGCCTCTTCAAAATTCTAAGCACACGTATCTCCTACAAATATCTCCTGTCTGATTAGATATGACTTTGCATCTCCTGTGGCAACTGAGATTTTGGAGTATAGCTCCTCTCCTCTCGAATGGATGGGGAAAGTAATAAAATCAGCACACAGGCAGGGACCCCAGAGCAATACTGTAACTTCGGGAAATCAGCCAGGCACGGTGGCTCACGCCTATAATCCCAACACTTTGGGAGGCTGAGGCAGGCAGATGACCTGAGATCAGGAGTTTGAGACCAGCCTGGCCACCATGGCAAAACGCCATCTCTACTAAAATATACCAGAAGAATTAGCCAGGCATGGTGGCATGTGCCTGTAATCCCAGCTACTCGGGAGGCTGAGGCAGGAGAATCGCTTGAACCTAGGAGGCAGAGGTTGTGGTGATCAAAGATTGCGCCATTGCACTCCAGCCTGGGCAACAAGAGCAAATCTCTATCAAAAAAAAAAAAAAAAAAAAAGAAAAGAAAAAGAAAGAAAGAAAGAAATCACCAGCACTTGGTTTGAAACTGTTCAGCACTCAGGATCGTTTTATTATGCATCAGTCTCTCGTCATTTTGTAACAATACCCCGTGTCTCCCTCTTGTTTTCAACTTGGCTTTACCTCAGTCTTTTCACATTTTCAGGTCACTGTATTCAGAATGGGTTCTGAGGGCCAGCAGGACATCGAGATGGCAATTTTAACTGCCCTGCTGAAAGGTGAGCTCTGGGAAACGGTGACTCCTGTGCCTTTGATGTTGGCCTGGCCGGCAATCCTTCCCCTCCCAGCCTCCATGGACCGTGTCTGCTGGTGCTAGGCCCTGAGTCAGGCCACTTGGGCAGTCTCAGAGTGAAGCTGCGGCGGAATGACAAGGCGTGCTGCAGGTTTCTGTGGGGCAGAGGGCTGTGGGTGCTCCTGGACCATCATGGGCTGAGGTCAGAACCGTTTCTATTGGTAACTGGTTCACTGAGGGCTTCGGCTCCTAGAGTGTAAACACGAGATGGGTTCATTTTCAGTCACTGCGTTCCACAGTGCTCTGTCCAGTTTCCCCGTCCTGGCTCTAACGATAGGCTTCAAGTTGGCATTGATGGGCAGTGAGGTCTGGCTCTGGGTTTCACACTTCCTCCCTGCCTCTTGGTTAGCCTGGTGCCATGAGGGGACAGAGAGTACAGAAAGGAGAGGGGTCACTGTCAGGCTGGCTGCCGTGCAGCACTGGGCTCATCTGTCTGTGGGGTCGGGGGACAAGCTTTTCTTGGTGTCCCTTGGCCTGGCCTGGCAGTCCCAGGGTTCCACCGTTCATGGAGATGAGGGTCCCTGAGCCACTGGGTTCCTTTTCTGTCCCTCCCAAGGAGACCATGCATGAGAAGCTGGCATGAGAAGAGGCTGCCTCCACCTTCCTCCTGGGAAGCGATTTGAGTTTGGGGCCTTAGTGGTCATTCAGGGTGAAAGTAAAGGCAGCAATGCTTAGTTCCAGGCCAGCAGCCCAGGGGATGCCTGTGCTCGCCGCCCAGCACCCGCCAAACACTGGCGGTCCGGGCGTGGAGTGAAAATCGTTCTGGTTTCTTGCCTTTCTAGGAACAAATGTATCTGCTCCAGATCAGCTGAGCTTGGCACTGGCTTGGAACCGCGTGGACATAGCACGAAGCCAGATCTTTGTCTTTGGGCCCCACTGGCCGGTGAGACTGTTTTTTTCAATTCATATCATTTTTCATGACTTTGTGCAAGTGACATATTAGTATGTTCTCCCTTGTGACATGGAACTCAGGAAATTATGTGGGGTTTCTAATGATACGATGTGTAATCCATTAGGATCATTAGAAGGTGTTACTGTTTAACTTCAAAGAACCAACAAGAAGTAAGAGCTACTAGCAGAAATTCCAGAGTCAAACCAGTACTCCTGAAGAAATTAATTACCAAATATGTTATCGTTGCTGGCAAAAGTGGGGTTTTTACCTTTTTAAAGAAAAAGAAATAAAATAGCTTAGTAAAATTAAATGCAATGCTTCCATCCAGGGCATTGATTTTTCAACTATGTTCTATGAAACCCTGGAGACCTAGAGAAGTCTGTGTCGGGTGGGGGTGGGTATGTATATGGTGTCTGTGTGTGTGTGTGATATGTAGTTTGCCTGTATGTGGTAGGATTATGTGTAGGTGAGTAATGTGTGTGGGTTTGGGTGGTATAGTGTTTATGCATGTATGTGTGTGTCATTGGGTGGGTGTTGTGTGTCATCGGCGATGAGCAGTGTGGGGGGGGTGTTGAGAAGTACTAACGTGTGTGACATGGAGATGAGTGTGTGTGTGTGTGCATGTGTGTGTGCACACGTGTGTAATATGGGGATAAGCATGTGTGTGCACGTGTGTGCACGTGTGACATGGGGATGAGCATGTGTGTGCATGTGCATGTGTGTGTGCGTGTGTGTGTGTGAACACAAATAAGTCTGCGTGATAAGGGATTCCTAGGCCACCTACTCTTCCTTCCATCAAAGCAGCTTCTTTGATCTATTTTATAGATTAGGAGTCAACATAAATTTGTGTTTGCAAAAAGGGCTGTGTTGCTTAGGAAAGATAGTAGGAATACCTACAGGGTTTATGTTGGTTTTAAAAACCACATTTCTTGGCCAGGCGTGATGGCTCACACCTGTAAGCACTTTGGGAGGTCAAGACAGGAGGATTGCTTGAGGCCAGGAGTTCAAGACCAACCTGGTCAACATAGTGAGACCCCATCTCTACAAAAAAAATTAAAAAATTAGCCAGGCATGGGAGTTTATGCCTATAGTCCCAGCTACTCTGGAGGCTAAGGCAGGAGGATTGCTTGAGCCTAGGAATTTGAGGTTAGAGTGAGCTACGATTACACCACTGCACTCCAGCTTGGGTGAGAGTGAGATTCCATCTCTAAAACATAAAAAACAATGCAAAATCATTTCTCAGAACATCCGTGGCATATTGCTGCACAATGCATTTTATTTAACGGCCTCTGTGTTTAGGTCTCCCAAAGCATTTAACTGCCTCCCAAAGCATTTAACGGCCTCTGTGTTTAGGTCTCCCAAAGCATTTAACNAACGGCCTCTGTGTTTAGGTCTCCCAAAGCATTTAACGGCCTCTGTGTTTAGGTCTCCCAAAGCATTTAACGGCCTCTGTGTTTAGGTCTCCCAAGGCATTTAACAGCCTCTGTGTTTAGGTCTCCTGGAAGTTGCCTCTACACCTTGCCATACCATGTTTTAGCACTCTTTATTGATTGATCACTTGCAGATGGTTCCATCAGTTCTCCGCTTGGAAATAGAAGCAAGTGGATTGCTCACTCTGCTTCCACTGCTCCTGTTCCTCCTGCATGTGATAGTTGCCTGTTTAATATATGTACTTTTTTTTTTTTTTTTTTTAATGGAGTCTCACTCTGCTGCGCAGGCGGGAGTGCAGTGGTGCAATCTCAACTCACTGCAGCCTCTGCCTCCCAGGTTCAAGCAGTTCTCCTGCCTCAGCCTCCCAAGTAGCTGGGAATATAGGTGCTCACCATGCCCAGCTAACTTTTTTTGTATTTTTAGTGGAGACACAGTTTCACCATGTTGGCCATACTGGTCTCATACTTCTGATCTCAAGTTATCCGCTTGCCTTGGCCTCCCAAAGTGCTGAGATTACAGGCATGAGCCACCATGCCCAGCCCTATTTAATTCTTATTTTGATCCCCTTTACAATGGTGAAGAGTTTGTGGAACCATCTACTTGTGTTGTCCACTTCAGACTCCCACTTTGTGAAATGAGGAAATTCACTCTATACTCCTCCTTCCTCTCCTGACAAGTTTCATCTTCCTACCTTTCACATGCTACTTGACGTGGTGAACATGGACATATCATTCTTTAATCATTATTGAGGTTCTACTTACATCTTGCTCTTTAATCATCATTCAGTTTTCATACTTGGTCTCTGTGTTGATTCTAAAACATGGAGAAACCAGCAGCTTTGACACTGTTGAGATTACATGGAGATTGTTCACTGCTGCTCCGCAAAGTAGGATTAAACTCAAAGAGAAGGAAAGGTAGCCCTGGGTCACTTCTTTGCTCACGCAAAGGAAAATGTGACAGGCATCAAGGTTTCTGTCATTCATCAACTATTTAAAACTGTGTGACATTTTGGTTTCCTTCATATTTAGACAGTGACTTCTTTGAATAGATATTTGCTTTTCTCCACATTTCTAATTCTCTTTCTTCTTCCAAACATTTGCTTTGGTGTCATTGCTGTATCTATTTTTTAAAGTATTTTTACTGCATCTTTAGTTTGTTCCAAACAAATAGATGTAAAGTTTGGTACACGCCTACATACACTTGCCACTGCTGATGTTGAGGCTTATCTTAGTCTGTTTTCTCACTGCTATAAAGAATAGCAGTATTCTGAGACTGAGTAATTTATAAAGAAAGGAGATTTAACTGACTCCCAGCTCCAACTGGCTGGAGAGGCCTCAGAACACTTACAGCCGTGGGGGAGGGCAAAGGAGAAGCAAAGACACATCTTCCATGGTAGCAGGCGAGATAGAGAAAAGAGCGCACGGGGCTGCCAGACACTTTCAAAGCCATCAGTTCTCATGAGAACTCTTTCACCATCATGGGAACAGCATGGGGGAACTGCCCTCATGATCCAATCACCTCCCACCAGGTCCCACCCTGGACACCTGGGGATTACAATTGGAGATCAGATTTGGGTGGGACACAGGGCCAAACCATATCAAGGTTCTTGTCAGCAACATGGATATATCAAGCATGACTGTGGCAAAGGCTATGTTAGCGCAGAGCGAGGGCAAAATTATTGTACTCTTTCCAAACTGAGGCCATGTAGATATTACTTTAAAATCCCATTTTGTACTATTATTTGCATATACATAGTTTATATCTAAAATACGTTTTATACTTTAAGTTCAGGGGTACAAGTGCATGTTTGTTATGTAGGTAAACTTGTGTCACGGAGGTTTGTTGTAGATTATTTCATCACCCAGGTATTAAGCCTAGTACCTGCTAGTTGTTTTTCCTGGTCCTCTCCTCCTCTCACCCTCCTCCCTCTAAAAGGCCCCAGTGTCTGTTATTCCCTTCCATGTGCCCATGTGTTCTCATCATTTAGCTCCCACTTCTAAGTGAGAATATGCAGTATTTGGTTTTCTGTTCCTGCCTCAGTTTGCTAAGGATAATGGCCTCCAGCTCCATCCATGTCCCTGCAAAGGATATAATCTTGTTATTTTTTATGGCTGCAGCCATATCTATTCTCTTGTTACTGGCCCATTTCTTCTTGAAGTATTTTTCAGAGCCCCTTGAGTTCCTACCCACATCTTCCCTGAATGCTCTCAATGCCTGCTGTACAGCTGTCTACATCAGACATCCTTTCATTGCACTCTGAGACTGCCCATTGCCTCCTAGACCCCATGTCTCCCTCCCTCTCAGATTCTTTTTTCATTTTGCTAGAGTATATCTTCAAGTAACTTTTACATAAGAGCATGTGGGAGGATTACTGTCTTAGTCTGTTTTGTGTTTTTGTAACAGAATACCATAGATGGGGTAATTGATAAAGAACAGAGATTTATTTCTTAGAGTTCTGGAAACCGGAAAGTCCGAGATCAAGGGGCTGGTATCTTGTCAGGGCCTTCTTGCTGCATCATCCCTTGGTGGGAGGTAAGAGGGTAAGAGAGCTCAAGAGAGTGAGAGAGGGCTGAACTCTTAAAGCAAATCTACTCTCAAAATCATGAACCCACTCCCTCTATAAAAGTTTTAATCCATTTGTGAGGACGAAATTCTTATAATCTAATCCATTTTAAAGGTCACACCTCTCAGGACTGTTGCACTGGGAATTCAGTTTCCAACACATGAACTTTGGGGGACACTTTGAAACCATATCAATCACCATTCTGTGTCTTTACATGTCTGAAAAAAGTCTGCCTAACATGAGGCTCAACATTGTCCTATGATTTTCATTCAATTATAGATGAACCATTGTTTTCTCTCTGCTCTTTGTTTTTTTGGTGCTTGGAAGTTTCACAAAAATATATCTTCTATTTCAAGCAAATGAAAATAGAAGTGTATAGAGAATACAAACTCAAGCACCCATGTCTTCACACATGTAGGCATTTAGTTATTCTGGCTTTCAAAGGTCCCGTTATGCTGAATACCTGAATCAGCTCTGTGAAATTTTCTTCTATCTCTTTTTTGAGTATTTCTTTCTTTCTTTATCTTTTTTTCTTCATCTGGAGTTTCTATTAGTCAAGCAACTCTTGGTCCCCTCCTCCCAGATTGATCCTCCATTTTCAGTTTTGTATTTCTCTATCATTTTGATGTATGTTTTTGGAAATCTTAACTTTTTCTTTAGCTTTTATATAATTTTTTAAGTTTTAGGCACGCATACTTTTTATATTTAAGAAAGTGTTTTTGTTCCTTAACAGTTTCATTTTCTTAATAGCCTATTTTCACCTCACAGATGCAATATCTAAGGATATGAATTAGATTTTTTGAAGTTCTCTTCTGTTCCCTAGATGATCTCTATTTTCTCCCTGGTCGGCTGTTTCTTTGTTCATTTTGGGTTTTTCTGTTGTGCTGTTGATTTTCTCAAATGCTCTAGATCCTTGGCTGTCCATCACACTACAGAATGAGGGATAGAACTGCTTAATTAGTATGGAAACCCATTTTGCCAACAGGTTTTTCTCCTC